ATATATATATATATATATATATATATATATATATATAGTAACTACACAATCATTTAATATATCATAAGTTTTTAATAATCGATAATTGTTGAATGTAACATACGTACAGTTATAATTATGTGCCATCTATATAAAATTTTTATTATAATTTATCTATAAATAATTTGAAAACATATTTAAGCAATAATTTTTATAAATATTATATTTTATGTTGAATTTGTAAAGTTCGAAACGAATATTTAATATTAATTATTCTTTGGACTAGCTATTTTTTTTTATTTTAACTTTTAGCTATAATCTGCTAAATAAGTATTAAATTTGTTATAAAAATGCGAAAATATATATTCGATGATTATTTAATTCGTTAATATTTTGTACTCTCGTGTTTTGTTATATTTCGCTAATCTATGTTTTTTATATAGAGAATTGCAATTTGACTAATCAGCTGTTGAAATGTTTAAATAACCTACTTAATCGTCGATTGAATAGTTGAGTCTCGTATCATTGAGATGAGTACCTCTGATAAAAGAGTAAGAAACATAACATGTAAGTGATAATAGAGAGTAAAGTAAAGTATTATAACATTTAGCAATATACTTTACATATTGTTAATTTTTATAAGAATATTAGAATTTAGAAGAAAACAATTTTTATTACAATCACTTTCAACAATCGCGCGCACACGTGTACATATATGTAAATGAGCGTACTTAAATGTTTGCTCTATAATGTTGTAGTCAGTTCTCATTTTTCTCATTTCTTTTGATAATTAATGAAAGTCTCCTGCATTATTTTACAACCAGGTTTATAGCTCGCAGCCGCCAAGCTTATCTCGCCTTCGCCTATTCGTTCCTTATTGTTTAATTATTGACAAACAATTCACTCTTTGTCCAAATTAAATAAATATTCTAGCATAAGCCGTGTACGCAATCTGTGAAATAAATGACGTAGATACTTTTCAAATGCACGCGTTATAATAAACACATTCCTTTACATTTTTATCGCTAAAATATGTTTGATTGGAACGGCGATCGAAGCATGCTAAATAAGTATCGATCGTAACCAGTGAAAGTGGTTACTTCAAATTTATTAAAATACGATACGTGTGCTGCGAAATTGCGGTAATAGGCATATCGTTACGCAATTGGAAAGATATAAAGCTTTCGATGGATGATTGTGCGCTTCGAATGTCAAAAATCTATTACAATTATTCGTGAACTTTATTACATTGTACGAACTGTAGTATGTATGTTTTTCTGCATAAATTTTTCTGCATAACAATAACAACAACAACGTTCAAACAGCCATGAAATAACGAAATTATGATTAAAAAGAAAAAAATGATTTTTTAAAGCTTTTTTCACTAATTTCATACGTTGATTTATAATTGCTGGAGTCGAGATCGTGGACCTATAAAAATCCATAAATCATCGTGATCATGAGAATTACATTCGAGCAGGGAACGTCTTCTGACGGAGCCGTCAGCATTCATGGCAAGTGGAAACTTATCGTAAGAATAACGACGAATGCGATAATTAATTTATACAACGCTGGATAAATCGACTTGATTCGCAAAAAGTCAGTCGAAAACGCGTACGTGGTATGTCGGTGCTGGTATTACCCAAGCGGATGTCCGTCGTCGTATTCGCGGAGGTTCGCTCGGATCCTCGGCCCATGCGTCAATTGGAGAGCCCAAGAGGTCGTGGCGTCGCTCGCGGCAGTCGCTCGCGGCCCGTCGCCCGCATCGTGTCTATAAATTTTGCGGCCGAGCGGTTGTTTAACTCCTTGTTTACAGTTTGATTCGGGACGGCCAGGATCAGCCCTGGCTCCCCGCGGTCTGCCCTGTTTCTCCATTCCATTCACTTTTCGCTGGCTGCCGAAGATCGAGTTCGCCAGGATGCGTGTCGACCGGGGCTTCCTCAACGTCATGATCCTCAGTTGGGGCTTCATGCTCGTTTTCACGGCCTTTCAGACTATGGGTAACATTCAGGTGAGCTTTCACTTAGCAGCTTAGCAGCTGTCAAAATTTGAGGTTAGTTCGGCGCGGACTCGCTTATACAGCCATTCGTTTCGGCTTTCTCGTCTTTTTTCCGTCCTCAGTTCGCGACTTTCATTTTTCGATTGCCTCGATAGCTTCGATTGCCTAGGTGAACGACTAGTATTGTTCTATGTGCGTCCCAATGTTTCATTTTTATCCTTACCTTTATGGTTAAGATGCCATGCAATTATCCTTTCCTTACTCGCTACATGATATAAATATACTTTAAGAGCCAACAAAGATATGATGAGTGAATTAGCAATAAGCGACTAGTCATATAATATATACACAATATATATATATGCGTGCGTGTTTGGGTGCATTTGCATGCGTGTATAAACACAATATACAATGCACAGAATATACTCACACACAAGTCATACGTCACTTATATACGTACATACATATATATATTACTAATACATATATATATATTACTAATCCAGGAAACTCGATAAGATGAAAATCAAAATGATGCAATTAATTCAAATGTAAAATATCATATTCTTAATATTGATAAATTCATTAAATCATTGACCATTACTGTTGCGTTGTTGCTGCTATGGTTGTTACTATTGTTATTATTGGTTTTGTTATTATTAAGCTGGCTGTACAATAACATTAGAAATTGAATGATTTTTAAAATGTAGTTATTCGCATATGCCTCGACATGTAAGATGATAATAAATATGTACATATGGTAAATATCGCTTTACATTTCCAGATTCGAATATTACACTTTTTAGACGATTCGGTAAAAATTATGAATTACGAAAAAATAAAACAAAAAAAAAAAAAAAAAAAAAAAAAAAAAAAAAAAATTAAATCTATAGATATTTCGCGTAAAGTGACTTGCACGTATTTTGTTATATATTAAAAAATAGCTTTTATGGCTAATTTTGTATATAAAAACTAGTTCTTACATGTGTCGGAATTCGGTGAAAAAGCCGAATTATTTAGAAAGTCAATATCGAAGTGTACGTTAATGCTTGAATGTAATACCATTCATTCATAATATTTCGATTGTCCAAATAGAAGACTTAAATATTTTTGTATATTTTTCAATCAAATATTTTCAGTCATCTAATTTTATAAATATCATTATATATATTAAATATTTACTCGAGCTTCATATTACATACAGAGACGCAGTACGCGGGACAAATATGTAGGGTTCGTTACAACACGAATGTAACGCGATAGCATTTACAGCGCGTACTAAACGCCTCGCACAAAAACGCGGATTTGGCCCCCCCCCCCCCCACTCCCCCATCCCACCATCACAAAACGTATGCTACAATTTCTTCGAATCCAGTCTAGTATAAGTAACTCAAGGAACCTCATTTCACTAAGGCTGAACAGCCTTGGCATTTCGTTAAAAATCGCCGTTTTCACAAAGAGAAACTATTAAGTATAATTATAAGTTGCGTCACATTCATCTTAAACAAATCCCGTGTGCATGCTTTTCTGCGTGCGTGTGTGCGTGAGAGAAAGCAGATAGGTAAAGATAGACATTGGTGCACATAAATTAAAAGCTCCTTTTATGTATTTTTTTTTTCCAAGTTGAAGCTTTCATTGCAAGCCTTTAAAATTATTGTACACATAAATAATACACATAAAAATTATAAATAGAGCTTGCGGATAAGAAAATTTTGAACTGATAAATTTTCCCAATTAATATCAGAAATCCGTGTGGCTTACACATTGATATATTTCCTTTTAGCATTATAAGTTTTTCAACAATTATGTATCTAAACTATCAAATACGTGTATAAAATGCAGAACTTTCAGAAAGTATTGTATTATGTTAGTAGTATAAAATGTTGAATATGTGCTTGGCACTTTCACTTGGCAATAAATTTTAAACGTAAAAATTAACTAACATTGAATTATAAAATTTGAATTGAGAATAATAAAAAGTTTTTAATAAAGTTATCCATAACATTTATTTAATTGTTGTTTTTGTTTATGTTTTTCGTTTTCGAATTTCATATAATTTTCATATAATAAAAATATAATTATAATATAATAACGAAGTTAATCCGTAAAAATAATTGATGGAAGATTCGTGTTAATAAAGACAACAAATAAAGAGTATGAATACAACAAAATTGTCGGATTACTTCTAATAATAATATAGATGTACAAGTAAAATGCTTTAGTAAAACGCCGTATAATATGTATTAAAAAATTCAATTCTATGCAAATTTAAGAATATGTATTAAATAAACTTTGAAAATACAAAATTAATATGGTAATTATTGCAAAAATATAGTATAGCAATAATTTGATTTTTTTGATTGATGATTCTGTATTTGTTTGAGCAAAAACTTAATACTTTTAGCTTCTTTACAAATATGGTTTTGCATTAAATGTTTAAATTATATAATTGAGTTTACACGATCCTCTTAGGAAAAGGTATTATTATTTTAATTTTTAATTACCCTTTGATTAATATTAAAAATAATTTAATTAAAAAATATATTGTTTAAGCGTAATAGTTTTAAATTACTTTCAGTCTAGTATTAATCTAGTTCAATAAAGAATTGTAATTATTATTTTTCTTAATGATTTCAAATAAACATGTATGAAGATTGAATACAACAACTTTGTTTATTCGAATGAGTTCAGCGTGTACCATCTTTCAATAATATTCAAACGTTTTTCATCGATGCAAGTCAATAAATGGGCAAGGATGTTAATGTCGCGATATCATATTTTATTCAATTAAGTGCTCAACCAATAATACCAAATAGTTTGTCTCTTTTGCTAATAATTCTAATATACTGAATCTACTAATGATTCAATTACAATATATATGCACAACTTTTTAATGATTGTTTTATCTATTTGCTATATTTTCTCAAAAGTTAAATCAAGAAATATTATTTTCATGACCTTTCGTTATATTATAATTATAAAATTATTGTCTAGAAAACAATACAAAAATCAATACATAACAATATTTCGTTTAGCTCAGCGACAAATGCATTATGAAATGTAATATTAATCAAAAAGATATTGTAATATAAATGTTTTAATTCAATTAATGTATAGTATTATATCGTGCATTTGTAGATGAAATTTGATTTTTTACGTCTCTTCTTAATGAACAATCTCTAATAAATTAAACATTTATTTCATAATTGACGATAAATGTATAGTAGTAATTGATTTGATAATAACCTGAATAAAATGGCTTTTTATAGAATTAAGATTATCTTATATAATTCAATGTTGTATAATTGAATTATTACAAAATAGAACTCTACTTATGAAAAATAAAAATGCCTATGAGAAATAGTAGAAGATTATGCTTACATCACAAAAATTTAGACCCAACTTTCGTAATTAAAAAACATTTATAATTGACATTTGATTTTATGTAATAAAATAAATAATAAAATTTTTAAATCATCAGGGTGCATAGAATTATACAAACAAATGTATACAGAAAAATTAACATTTTATATAAGCAGACCAAGCTATTAACAATTCATATTATTGAGAATAAAACTATTTTTTATAACTTATAGTGTTCATTTTGTTTTACATCTAATATGATTAAATGAGTTGCTTGCAATATCAAATCAAGATTCATATATAACATTTGGAAACCTTTTAGAATTAAAAAACAATTTTAACATTTAATATAAGTTTGTTATATCATTAAATATAAATATATTCTTAAGATATATTCTTCGGCTCCTATAATCTACACGAGTACCTTTTAGAACAATTAAATAAAAATTTACTACATATATAGACTAAAATAATCCGACTTTCTTTTAATAGGATATACAATCATATTTTTACGCTATTAAGATATAATTAAATTATATATTCACAAATAATAACAATCTTTTCGTTGTAATTCATATTTTATGAATCAAATTTACATATAAACACGTGCAAATATGTATATATAAAAATGTATTTTCAAATCTAATATATTTCGCTAATAAACTTTTAACGTAGAATTTTTTCACAAGTTGTTTCAATATGTATAAAATTAATTTATATTTCAAAATATTTTAAAATGAACTGATTTTCAAATGCAATAAAATCCAAACTATTAGATTAAATATGAACCACACGCTCTTATCAAAGTTTATTCTATTTTCGTATTTGTAATTTAACGTTAATTAATGACAAGGTGGACGTTAAGTTATGGGGATAAAATGAATATTTTTTAATTATATGGGTGTTCCCATTTTCCTTAAAAAAATATTATGGATATTATGTATAAAAACTAAATTTATAAAATATAAATTCAAAACTAATATTATTAGTGATAGTAATGTATTAAATATATATATATATATATATATATATATATATATATATTAAATATTCACATAAACTTTAATTGAAAAAGGAAATTGCGTTTTAAAGTATACTGAAATAAAAGCAAATTTAAATATATAATAAATATAGGTTTGTTATATGTAAAATTTTTTAGTACAACATATTGAATGATTAAATGTGAAAATCTTCTTATTAACAACATTGCTATTTTTATATGAATGTTTAAATTTATATATGTTAAACACGACGAACACGAAAAATTAAGTTAAATATTTATTTGAGATATTATTGTCATTGAAAATTGTTCTAAATAAAATTAACTATTATATCCAAAGTAATTATACAAAGTTATAATAATAGTAAACACATGTAAATATAAAAATTAAGATTTTCACTGCATTTTGTTATTTAATTACATTACAATGTCAAATAAATAATTTTGAAATATTTAAAATAATATTAAGCTACTCAGTTAATAATGCGTATTATATAAATGTTTGATAATTGATGTAAACTAAAAATTGATTAAAAAACGTTATTCATCGTATAATGATTAATATCGCCTATCTAATTACACAGACATAGTGTAGCGTATATACAAAAGCAATATTAACGCGTTTCACTTTAAAACAATAAAATCATCATAAAACACTTATTATATATTTTCTATCCGGCTTTAAATAACAAGAAATTTTATAATAAAAAATCTTTGGCTCCCGAATTTTTCCATCAACTTTATATAATAAACACTCCCATTGCAGCGAATGTCCAAAATATACACATAAATTGCAAACGAGCAGCTATTATCTCAAAAATATTATCTTTTCTGACTTTCCAATCAGAGTTTAAGTTTGATACTTTGTCTTGTATTTCTTTTTCTTATTATTATTATTAAATTAATTCATATATTTATATATAGACCAAATCTCATTCTTTCAATGATAATAAAGTAACTGTGTTTTTTTGTGATTAAGAATTAAATTACCGACTTAATTAAAAGAAGAGTAAGAGTAAGATAACGTTCGATATATGTTCAATACATAATAAACCTTATGTAATTTTTATGTAAATTTTTAATCAATGTTGTTTATTTATTATATTATTGACGTTAAAAGAAAAATTTTGAAACCTAATTTCATTCGATTCGATAAGTTTGAAAAATTTTTGTTTTAAATCTTATATATCCAAAGAATAAAGAAGGTCTGCATTAAAAGAAAGAGAGTGATATTTATTTTTCCATTTCTTTATCGCTCATAAAATAACCTTATAGTTAGTAATGATAAAATTACATTAATAATTTCCGATCTCTGGTTTCTGAATCAATATTTTAAATAATTTTTCGTTGTATATTTATTATAATAAATTTATAATAAATTTAAGAAAAAAATCATTAAAAAATATAAACAACATTTTATGGATACCATTTATGATTTGGCAATCAATTTGGCAAATAGTGTGATATGATATTTAAATCGTATTATTATTGAATAAATAAAGTTTAGAAATAATTTCACAATTTTTTAATAACACGAGGAGTTAATAGTATGGTAATATCATTCAATTATCGCTTGTCGTAATTAGAAAAGAAGTAATTTGTAATTTGTATTTTCTGCGATATAATATATTTTCTTTATATAGAAATTTAGAAAATATATCGTATTAAAGATTATAAAAAGTAAGCAAATGAAAAATATTGATTGTTTGAAAGCTTTTTTAAAATATCAAGCAGAAGTTTGTTACCGAAGATAAATAATATTAAGAGAGTATTTAAATATAATCGCTATAATATATGTATTAATTCATACAATAATAAGATAATTGAATAATAAATACCTAAATACTCCGGTGACAATCATCACTTTATAAATATTCCGCCCGGAGTATTGTTACTATATAATCACGATGCTTCGTTCCTACATACACGCATATTTCATCACATATAACATATAATAATTTAAATATCATAGTTTTAGATAACCGATACAATATATAATATCGATAAAAAAGATTGTCGTAATGGTGAAAATATTAAAAAAATTATATTAAAAAATTTATATTGATTAGTTTCATTATTATAAATAAAATGGAATTTGTTTCAGTAATGGTCTTAAGGCTATAACAAGTTATTGTCGGAAATTAATATATTTTATTTTTTACTTAAATTAATTTTAATAATGTTACATATTACATTATTTATTGATATCTCAATACATAGAGAATGAAATCTTCAATATCTCATCTTCATTAGTCGATAAAATCGGCAGATTTTAAATTGATAACTATGCATAAGTATCATAATAAAATAATATAAAATCCGTACTAGGGATTATTTAATAAAATTTGGCACGTTCAAACACATTGTTTTTTAATAAAATTATTTTTCATAAATATCTTATTAAATATACTATATTTTTGTTTTTCAAAACAATGGTCTAATTGAGAATGAATTTAGGTTAATTCAAAGACATACATTACAATATATGTAATATTTAAAATATTACATATTGTCACCTTAATTGAGCATGCGATTGTCTCATTAAATAATTGGAATAAATTATTTAACTAAAAGAATTAAGTACAACTAAATGAATACATTATTATATTATAAATCTCTAAAGTATATAGTATAATGAACAGTTGACACTATTTTCATTGCTAAAGAATTTGTTAAATTGATCAAAGTTATATGGGCATAAATAATTATTACTACCTAAAATAATTTTCTCAATTAATTATTATTATAATATAACAAGGTTATTATTGGTCGTAGTTTTATATAAACAAATAACGATTTAAGAATAAAACATATCATAAAATTAATCTTTAACAACAATGATTAGTTACATAATGATACCATTACATAATGATTTCCATTCGATATTGCTTATTTATTAGAAAGTAAAAATTAACAATCGACTGTCGCTCTTTATATTCATATTTATTTATACCAAACTATTTATTTACTTTATTTATAGGTGATGCACCCACCGATTAAGATCTCTGCTCAATAAATATTATTTATCATAAAAATTAATTTCATCAAAGAAAGTATTTAAATATATGTTAAATATGTTAAATATGTTAAATATAAATATATGCAAAGCAGGCGGACTTTTCGTACATAATTTATACCAATACATTTCAGAAATATTGGAAATTTTTACGCGCTTCGATTGTTCGTAGATGTTTTTGAAAAATTCTCAACGAATATACCTCATTTCTACCTTTTATTTCTAATCAATAAACACACTCATTTAAATTAACTATCGTAATTATTTCGTTTGAAAAGAATTTGTAGATAGTTGAAATTTTATATTGACGTAAAATGTTAATATTTACGCTTGATATAAAGAATAAATCGTTCACGATATCACAATGAAAATGAGATTTTATTAATGTCAATAATACCTTCATTACATGTAGGTCGTGATTTGTCTGCAAAATGATATCGAATGATATTCATTATTCATTTATCCCACAGCAGCGTTAATGTAATTACAATTGTTGGCTCAATCTATATTTATAAATTATTCCTTATGCATGATAATATTAGTACGCATTGGTGCTCAATTGTCAATATGATGTTTTATTAAAAATATTTGTTCATTATACTTCATCGTAAATGAATAATGCTAGTGGTACGCTTTTTCACAATACATGTAATATATTATTATCTCGGAACTCGGCTTTTATGATATAGACTTTTCTTTGTCAGTTTGAAAGCTTTAAATGCTTTGAAAGAATATTACAGAGTGATTGTATTAAGTTTATTTCAGCTAATTCTTTTTAATGCTAATCATAAGCACTAAAATATTGAAGTTCATGAATTCCGTGAATGAAATGTATTCTCGATTTATAACTTGATTTTCTACAAGAATTTCCTACTACCACAGACTCTGGATTATTTATTTATCATGATTAATGCAAGATTTTATATTTTATAAACTGCTAAGTTATACCTCTTGGCACATTTATCCCGCTGAATCGTTATTTTTATTATTTGCCATTTTGTCGTTAACTGTTTCACATTATCTAAATGACTAATAAAGTAGCGGAGAATACACAAAATGAGACAATGGATGATTAAACGTTCATCTTTATTCCGATCGTCGAAGTTTTCTGCGATATAACTAAAAATATCAACAGCTGCCGATGTCTCCTATATAATATATCCTATACATATTGATATCGTAGTAGTTTTCTTCGTCTGTAATGACCATGAAATTACGACTGATTAATGATCGGAAGTGAAAAAGGACAAAAATGAGAAAAAGAAGAGAAAAGAAAGTAAGAATGAAAGGAAGATTGAACGAAAGCAAGCTTATTAGGATATTGTCGAGCGCGAGTCTGAGTGTATCCCCTTGGCTAATTGCAGAAAACTGTCTTGGAGAGCATATCGAAAGATGATCCTAACTTCCACGGGGACGGCTACACGAGTCTGGCCATAATTTACGCGACGTTCGCCCTTTGCAATTGGCTGGCTCCGTCGTTCATCTCGATGACCGGCCCTCGCACCAGCATCATGGTCGGCTGTTCCTGCTACGTAATCTTCATAGCGACGTTCCTTTGGCCGCGTACGGAAGTCCTGTACATAGCCTCGGCAGTGGTCGGGATAGGGGCGGCCCTCTCATGGACCGGTCACGGCCTCTTCCTCACGATAAACAGCGACACCGAGACGATGTCTCGGAACTCGGGATTGTTTTGGGCCATCTTCCAGTCCTCCCTCTTCATCGGCAACATCTTCGTCTACCTCGTGTTCAAGGAGCCGGAGATTAAGGAGGACGTGCGGCAGCTGGTGTTCCAGGTATTGACGGGTGTATCGGTGGTAGGACTTGTGCTCCTCCTAACGATGAGGAAGCCACCACAGCTGGCGAGCCTCGGACCCGCGGAGGGTGTCTCCAGTGCCGACAAGGAGCTACATATTCCGGAGATGCCGAGGGAGCGGCCCCTAATCGCAGCCTGGCACGCGCTCTGCGACGCGTTCCGGCTCTTCATCACCGGCCGTATGCTCGTACTCGCCCTGACCTTCGTCTACACGGGGCTCTCGCTCACCTTCTTTTCCTCCGTCTACTCGTCAAGCATCGGCTTCACCAAGGCCATGGGCGAGGATCGCAAGAGCTTGATCGGTCTGTCGGGCATTTGCATCGGTGTCGGCGAGGTCGTCGGCGGTGCCTTCTTCGGGGCCCTCGCCTCCAAGTGTGGCAACTGCTCGGGCTGGCCCGTCGTCATCACTGGCTTTGTCATGCACACCTTCGCCTACATCGCAGCCCTGCTCAATCTACCCAACAACGCACCCTTTAACGTAAGTCTCGACGACTTTATATCTCCGGCTCCTCCGAGACCTAATTACGTATAATCATAAATGGGCTTTAAATTAATTCCGCGTTCGCGTTTTTAGTCGTGTGCATTCTATTTGCCCCGTCGAGAGCCGATTATTGCGCAAATTGTCCGTAAAAAAA